TGAGTGGTTGGGAAGGTGCGTGGATGGGTGGGTGGAAGGGTGGATAGGTGGGTGTGTGTGCGGATGGGTGGGTGGGTGGATGGATGGATGGGTGGACAGGTGGGTGGATGGTTGCATGCATGCCTGCTTATATGGACAGAAGGGCAGATTCACGGATGGAGGGATGAATGGATGGATGGACAGATGGACAGATGATGAATGGATACATGGTTGGATGCACGGGTGGATGAATAATAAAACAAGTGACTACTGAGAAAGTAACTGGGAACTGAAAATAAAATCCTAACTCACGAACACTCACAGTGTGCTTCCTCATCTCCCATCACTCTCTGCGTGCTCCAGGGACCCCAAACGCCTCCCACACCCCCAGTCACACACAGGTTCTCACTTTCCCCACTTCTGTGAAAATCCTTTCCTCTCCTAAGTTTCACAAAGACCTGCTCTTTCCTCCTTCTCTATGAATTTAAATCTTCCCCTTGATTCATCCCGCCCTGTTCTAGCCTTCCACACTCCTCAGATGCATCTCACACACCTTCGCTCATATCTGCCCCACCCCGCAGCAGGATAGCCTTGAGCACCATGCACGAGATGATAAGCACACTTGGTGTGGCCCCCCAAAAAAATGTGAACTACAGGTAAAAATAATGAAAGACTCGTAGCCCCTCAGTTAAGAAAACTGGGTCTACAGAACACATGCATTACACATTTGAAGATTTATGCCAGGTGTGGTGGTGCACACCTGTAATCCCAGCACTCTGAGGCTGAGGCAGGAGGATCCTTGCAAGTTCAACACCGGCCTGGGCTACAAAGGGAGCTCGTGGCCAACCTGAACTGCATAGCAAGACCCTGTGTCAAAAAGACAAAAAAAAAAAAAGACTTATTTGTATTATTATTAAGATTATTGCTCTGACAGAGAAATTGAGAATCTGAAAGCAATGAAGTGAATAGAAAGCTGCTGTTTCATCTAAGCTGAATCAAAGACAATGGGTGGTCAGATAAACTTCTGCTTCCTGGGGAAGTTGCTCAGTGGCTGGGCCATGCTCTTGTCATGGTAAGATGGACGTAGGAATGCCCACCTCACAGGACTAGACAGCACGGCATGCGCAACGAACAGGACGTGCGTAATTACCCTGTGCTGTGCCTGACCAACAGGAAAGACCCAACCTTCCTAAAATTCACTATAATTACACAGAGTTACAGAGAAGAATACCTGGGAAAACCAGAGTGTGATAGCCCAGCGTTTACGACGCACGAGATGTGAAGACCTCACGTCCTCCCTATGAAACAGTGCCCCTCTGTCCTCTCTAATTTTGTACTTTTCCAACATTTAGAATCTGGTTGTTGCTGTACCACTCATACATAAGGAAAACAAGCAAAGACCGCACGTGCAAATCCTACAAGCATGATTCTATTAAAATACATTACATCCGGGGATTTAGCTCAGTGGCATAAGCGCCTGCCTGGCAAGCACAAGGTCCTGCGTTTGATTTCCATGTACCAAAAAAAATTAAAATTAAAAAAATAAAATGCACATTATGTTATTCTCTACAAGTATAAACCTCTTCTACAACATTGCCTCAGTATTCTGCCCAACTTCCCTGTTACCGGAGATTGAACACGGGCACTCTATCACGGAGCTACACCTCCAGTTTGTTTTTGCTTTGCTTGTGTGTTTTGTTTTGTGGTGTCCTGTTGTGTTCTGTCTGAGATAGGGTCTTGCTAAGTTGCCCATGTTGACCTCAAACCTGAGATCTCCCTGTCTCTGGCCTCCTCAGTGCTGGGATTACAGGCGTGCACTCCCACACACAGCTTTAGGTATTCTTTAAAATCACGCCATGCATTTAGTAGAGTCTCTGCCAAATTAAAAGGGATAAAACTGATGGCCATGTATAAAGATGCAGGGGGCCATGAATCGAGATCAACAGTCTATCACAGGCTGGGCGTGGTGGCGCACGCCTGTAATCTCAGCACTCAGGAGGCTGAGGCAGGAGGATCGTTGCGAGTTCGAGGCCAGCCTCGGCTACAAAGTGAGCTGAAGGCCAGCCTGAACTGCATAGCAAGACTCTGTCTCAAAAAAGACAAAAAAAAATAGTAATAATAGCTATTCATCACTCAGTCCTAAAATATTCAGTGCATGCATAATTATTTATTTAATCTTTCATCTCAAATACCAAACATTGTAATCTGCAAACATCATACCACAGGAAGAAATAAGAATGATTAAACTATAATATGTTGTGAATGATTCATTAATAAACTGTCAATTAAAAATAAACCTTTTAGGGCCGGGGATATAGCTCAGCAGCACAGCGCCTATCTGGCAAGTGTAAGGTCAATTCCTGGTACCAAAACAAAGTTAAATTAAATTAAATTTAAATTTAAATCTTCATGTCTCTATCGGTTTTCAGGAGAAACCACTTCAAAGATATCAATATGTCATACAACAAGCACTGTCAATTTCCTACCACTTTGTTTGTAACTCTGTACTGTCTGCACTGTTCTGCTATTTTGCAAAAGGTTATCTGTCTGTTAATGTTTTCCTCCTTTTATTTTTAAAACTTAACAATTAATTAATTAATTAAAATCTTAACTTGTCAAATCATTCCTACTAACTTTTTCTGTTGAATGAATAAATGGCTGTGGAGATACTTCTCCACCTGAATCATTTAAATCACTTTAAAATTTCTCTCAAAAGCGTACTCACATTCACTTGAGCTTGAACGGACCAGTCACCAAGGATTGGGTGTGAAGACAGCTGAAAAGTTTTGGAAATGACTCCCAGATCACCTTGTTGGGACAGCCACTGCTGGATCAAATTGCCCTTGGGGTCCTAAAGCAAAAACCACACACGTTAAGCACGCAAAGGCTGGCCACGCGCACTGTGTCTCATGGGGTCACAAGGGTGGCCTGTGTCCATCCAGCACCAGCACCCCCACCGGCACACACAGGACTCTCCCCCGAATAAGATGCTAACACAAGTTTTGGGAAATTCCAAGCCCACAGTACCAAAAAGACAAATCAAAATTTCTTTTTTCCTCATATTTTTCCAGAGATCATCTTGCTTTGGGGCCACCTTTTAATTTTTTGTTTTTGAGACAGGGTCTCGCTAGAGAGTTCAGGCTGGTCTTGAGTTCCCTTTGTAGCCCAGATTGGTCTCAAACTCACAGAGCTCCTCCTGCCTCAGCCTCCCAAGTGCTGGGATTACAGGCAAGCGCCACCACGCCCAGCCGGGGCCACCTTTTAACTCTTAGCCCCACACTTCTGCGGGAGACACTACAGCACACCAAGCCCCAAACCCACAGACGCAGCAGTGCTGACGGTGTTAAAAGAACCCTGCTGAAGCAACGCCGGGCCCGTTTATGAAAGGCCTGCTCTGAGTCGGGCATGCATGTTGCCTTTTCGCCAATCACTGCCACGGCTTCACGTAGCACAGTCCTCAGTTCATATTCGGAAAAAAACGATGCCAAGAGAGGTTAGGTCAGTACGCACTATAAGTTTCTGGCAAAGCCAGTATTACAGCACCCACAGGGGAGGGAATTCAGGAGTCTGCCCCGGGGCTGTCTTTCAACTTGGCAAATGTGTATCAGAGAGGAGTTTAACCAAGAGGTTACAGAAAGGCACCTCCGTCTTGGCTTGTCCCACGGTGATCCTCACGTGGTATCCACCAAGGCGGCCACCAAGACTCCTCTCTCCCATCCCCCCTCTGAAGTCTCTGCCTTATTTATGTGTTCGCATACTCACTGCCAGCCCCTCTCCCTCTCTCTCTCCCTCTCTCTTCCGTACACCCTCCGGCCACCACATCCTGTTTTCCAGCTCATCTCTTCCCCAGTCTGGGCCGCCCCACTGGCAGCAGCGTGATCCAGTGGCGTGCCACCCGGTCCCGGCTTTCACATCGGAGACCCAAGAAAGAACTACGGTGGCTGGGATGCCTGGCACAGCTCCTGGCTTCTGACAAGCTCTGAGTAAGCACTGCTTCTGATCATTCTAACAGACCACTAGGTGAATCTGGCTTTTGTTTTGCTACACAATGAAGTCTAACTCTTGCTTTCTCATCTGTTTCTTTGGTTTCTAGTTTTTTGGGGGTTTTTCGTCTTTTATGAGACAGGGTCTCACTATGCAGCTCAGGCTGGCCTTGAGCTCACTGTGTAGCCCAGGCTGGTCCCGAACTCACAACGATCCTCCTGCCTCAGCCTCCCGAGTGCTGGGATGACAGGCATGTACCACCATGTCCGGCTTGCCTTGTAATCTGACCCTGTCTACACAGCTAGGCACCTCTTCTAAACACACAGATTCAGAGGCACCTGCACAGCTAGGCACACAGATTCAGCGACAGTTCACCCCAAAAGTCCACACATCCAGACCTCCATGTCTGCAGCACACAATGCTCACGCCCCCGTGAAATAAGCTCAGCTTTTCATCCTCCACCCACACTTCCAACGGGACAGGAGACCGGCTGGAGGCCCTGCACCTGGGGTTTACACCCCTTAAGTGTACCTTAGTGGTACAAGCAGTAAAATCAGCTTACTTTACCTATTTTTTCTTACAAAAGCGAGGTTTTTTGTTCCCACCTAGACTATGAGCTCCTGAGATCCGGGATTGAATCTTTTCCTTTTCTTCTGTTGTTTGACAAGAAGTAATGAGTTGGCCCCATTGCTAGAGACTGGCAGAAAGCTCTCTCCCACGGCAGAGAAAGGACATTGCTGAGAATTAAGTAACCAGGAGGAGGAGAAGTCGGCCAGAAACTAATTGTTGAAACTGGGACCAAAGGCAAGTCAAGAACAAGCAGGTCACTATGTCCCGGGCAAACCTCTCCCATGCCTGCTGCCCCGACACTCCGGGGACAGCTGTGGAGGACGACAGCGCAGGGAAAATAAGCGGCTACGAACTACTGCTGCTGAGTAGCTAAGGGACTGAAAATGAAAACAAAGAATGCTATTTATTTTTCCTTTGTCAGACCAACAAAGACTTAAACGTCATCGTGACAATGACTTCTGGGACGAGGCACAGTAAAAGGGTTGCCCACACTGGCCTGGTGCATTACTCTGGCCAGGGGCTACATTCCCAGGGGGCATCAAACACAGTCTGAACCTTGCTGACTTTGCGCCTGGGTGACACAGATGGGGTGCAGGGGGCGGGGGTTAAACGATCTCTTGTTTCCCCAGCTGTCTTGGGTAAGGAGGACACAAGAGAACGCAGAAATCTGAAAGTCTTTACAGAGCACGGTGGGGTTTGAACAGCCACGCACACTGCATCACGCAGAGCCCAGCCTTCAGAAGCCGTCGTCTCCTGCCACTCACTCACAGTGTGGTCAGTGGCCCCATCACAGCCCGGAGACACTGAATAATCAGCTGGGGGGAGGGGCAGAGCACAGCAGCCAGCTCCCTCGCCGCAGAGGGCATCTGCGGGACACCCGAGTGCTGGATACGCACCAGGCACACGTCCACCCGGCACACAGAATGAGAGAAGCCAGACAACGCACATAAGGCGGCCCCTCACCTGGCCAGGGCTGCAGGTCTGAGTTTGTCACAGCTGCTCGGGGCTGGTCAGTCAGAGCACAGCCCCCAAGGACAGACCCTTCCAGCCAATATCTGAACCTGCACAAGGTGGTCTCCGACTCCAGGTGCAAGGGCTTCTCAAAGGAGTAAGGTCAGGGCAGAAGCCAGCCGTGCAGCCACCATCCCAGTGCTGGCGGAGCATCTCTCTCCAGGGTGGGAGGCCAGGAGGAGGGCTGGAGTGGGGCATGGTTTTTCTATTGCCGAAACCCTTTCCTGAGTTTAGTTATCAAAGCAGGCAAGCCGGGCGTGGTGGCACATGCCTGTAATCCCAGCACTCGGGAGGCTGAGGCAGGAGGATCATC